TTCCTCACATAAGGGTCCAGGGCTGGCTTCCCACCAGCTGTCTCCTGCCCTCATCTCATCAAGGATGCCCATCTCCTAGAAACTCATGCTGCCCACTTCATGCCAGCTTTCTGCCCAGGGTTCTGCCTGTCCCCTCCCCCTCCCCCTCCCCCTTGGCCTCAGCATCACTGCTTCCTGAATGACACAGTGAGGGACCAAGACGGGCTCCTTCAGAGTATCTCTGAAGGGAGGATGGCCTCAAAACACGGCGAAATCTTATCTGGTTAGGATTGTGCCCTGTCAGTCCTAAGGGAAATCAACCCTGAATATGCACTGAAAGGCCTGGTGCTGAAGCTGAAGCTCCAATACTTTGGCCATCTGATGCAAAGAGCTGACTCATCAGAAAAGACCCCGATGCTGGGAAAAATTGAAGGCAGAAGGAGAAGGGGACGACAGAGGATGAGATGGTTGGATGGCATCACCGACTCGATGGACATGAGTTTCAGCCAGCTCCAGGAGATGGTGAAGGATAGGGAAGCCCGGTGTGTTGCAGTCCATGGGGTCGCAGAGATTTGGACACGACTGAACAACTGAACAACAGCTATGTTCATTAAAATTCAGCCTCAAGCAATGGAACAAAGATGTCTGCAGTGGAGAGATGCCTCTTCAGACATCAAGAAAACCCAACACAACAATGGATTTAACAAAGCAGAGGAGTTTTGCTCTCATCTAGAGAACAAAGGCTTGATCCGGGTGGGTCTGCTGTCCCCTCCCTGTCCTGTCAGGAGATGTACCCCAGGCACATCTCTTAAAGCTTTTCCATATGTGTCCCCATCCTGATGGCTCCGAAAGCCCGACCCATCAGGTCGGGATTCCAGCCAACAGGAGCAGAATGAGAAGGAGGCCACCGGAAGCCACACACACCACTTGTGTCTATATCCTCCTGGCCAGGACTTGGTTACAAAGGGGGCTGGGAAATGTAGTCCTTGTTCTGGGTGGCCATGTGCACAATCAGAAGTTCTGTACAGAAGGTGGAACAGATTTGGGGCAACAACTAGCAATGTTCACCATATGAATTAGGGGCAGTGGGTTTATCACGTACATCCTACTGTAACCACCTTTCAGGGCTGTTGAGAGAATCCAAAGAAATTATAATAATAATCATGAGAGTAATTACTTTGTTACCATGTTTGAAAGCAGAGATGTGGTCTTGTTCTTTTCACTGCTGGACCCCTGATATCCTAGGACAGCTCCTGGCACAGGAAACAAGCCCAGTATCTATTGGATTATATGCTTGAAGATAAATATTTCTCAGCAGAGATAAGGCACTAGCATACTTGAAACATTCTGCCCAACCACTTGGAAAAGTCGTTAGTAAATCTTTGAAAGGACTGAAAATGGTACCAGATAGTGAAATCTATTATGATTTGTAGCTTGATGTTTTGAAGGGGGAAATGGCATTTTATTATTCTATCCTGAAGAGTCACAGAGGTCAGTTTATCACCTATGCTGACATCCAAATTAAAGATCACATTTCCCCTGCATTCAGGAAAATAAAGACCGTGCCTTTAAGTTAGTTATTAGCCAGGCAGACTCTCTTCTACATTGTGACATAAGTCGGGACAACACTTGGGTGACAATTTGGCAACATCTTTCAAAATTACAACTGCAGAGCCTGTCTGACCTAAAGCTTCTCATTCCGGGGGTTTAGCCACATATTATGCTACATATATGAAAATGACAGTCTATAAGATATTTTTTGCATCCGTGTTTGTAATAGTATAAGACTAAAAACATTATAAATTTGTCTTTCAACAAATAGTTAAATAAATAATGGTAGGGCCCTATTACGGGATCCCTATTTCTTTTTTGGGGTTCCCAGGTGGCTCAGTGGTAAAGAAGGCACCTGCCAATGCAGGGGACTCGGGTTCAGTCCCTGGACTGGAAGATCCCCTGGAGAAAGAAATGGCAATCCACTCCAGTTCTCTTGCCTGGGAAATCCCATGGACAGAGGAGCCTGGTGGGCTTCAGTCTATGGGGTCACAAAGAGTTGGAACCACTTAGGGACTGAACAGCAGCCAACAGTAGCATTCCTTTATTTTAAGGAAGAAGTGGCTGTCGATGCACAGCAAAGTGACCTCCAAGACAGTAACTGAAAAAAGCAAGGTAGAGAGCCAAGTGTCTCGTATGCTACAATTTGCACCCTTTTAATACAAATGGTAAACAGAGAAAGAGAGAGCGCGTGTGTGTGTGTGTGTGTATGTGTGTGTGTGTGTGTGTGTGTACCTGCTTGAATTTGCATAGAATACCTCCGTAAGAATAAGCAAGAGATGATGACTAAGGAAGGGAATTGAGGGGCTGCCCTCAGCCCACACAGGAGGGAAGCAAACTTTTTAAGATATGCTTTAGAATTTTGAGGCTGAAGCTGAAACTCCAATATTTTGACAACCTGATTCATAGAACTGACTCATTGGAAGAGACCCTGATGCTGGGAAAGACTGAAGGCAGGAGGAGAAGGGGACAACAGAGGATAAGATGGTTGGATGGCATCACCAACTCAATGGACATGAATTTGAGCAAGCTCCAGGAGTTGGTGATGGACAGGGAAGCCTGGTGTGCTACAGTCCATGGGGTCACAAAGAGTCGGACATGACTGAGCGACTGAACTGAACTTAGAGTTTTGAACTATGTGAATACATCATTCATTCAACAAATAATAACTAGTTTCATCTCACATGTTGCATTGTTGCATTGCGTGTATGCTCAGTTGAGTCAGACTCTTTGAGGCCTCATGGACTGTAGCCCGCCAGGCTCCTCTTTCCACGGAATTTTCCAGACAAGAATATTGGAGTGGTTTGCCATTTCCTACTTCAGGAGATCTTCTCAACCCAGGGATCAAACCTGTATCTCTTGCATCTCCTGCATTGGCAGGGAGATTCTTTACTACTGTACCACCTGGGAAGCATTCATCTCATGGTCTTATACGTATTTTTTAAAGTATGTCTTCCTGTATCTTTCTTGATGTATCTTGATGGCCCTTCACACAGGACAAATGATTGCTTTTGCAATAAGAAGAAGAAAAAGTGGACACCCCTGCAAGTTTTTGGCAGTGGCTAAAAGTACCATCCTGGGGACATGGTGAAGAAGCTCCACTGCTCAGTACAGGGATCCCTTGATCTCTTGTTATCTTTGGTTCAGAGTGTCCTAGCTTCTCTGTGACCAAAAGAAGCAGAAATATACCATCAGGATCCTGTGTGCCCAGACTCCGATGCTATAATGCTCCATTTTGAGGTGGGGGTATAAGAATAAGGAGAATTTTCTTACCCCCTCTGACTGCTCTGGTGAGCATTTAAGGAACAGGTGTATTATTGTAAATATGTGTGTGTGCATGCTGTAAGATAGAGTGTTCTCTATTCAGGGGGAAAAAGTTAAAATAGAGAACAGTATACAGAGTATGTTACCACTTGGGTCCAAAAAAGAAAAGAGAGATCTTTAAATATATAATTAATACTATCAAAGAATATTTCTGGAATACACAAGAAACTGGAACAACAGTTGCCTTCGTGGGGAGGTCAGTTGTACCAGGGAGACTAACTTTTAACCAAATACTCTTTGTGATATTTGAGTTTTATTTTAAGTATGTGCTATATAGCATCTTTGGCCACCTGATGTGAAGAACTGACTCACTGGAAAAGACCCTGATGCTGGGAAAGACTGAAGGCAGGAGGAGAAGGGGATGATAGAGGATGAGATGGTTGGATGGTATCACAGACTCAATGGATATGAGTTTGAGCAAACTCTAGGAGTTGGTGATGGACAGGGAGGCCTGGCGTGCTGTAGTCCATGGGGTCGCAGAGTCAGACACGACTGAGCGACTAAACTCAACTGAACTGACTCATATAGCATCTATTCAAAACATGTAAAAAAGAGAGAATGCAGTTTATATGATAGTTTCTTTCTATTCCCACCTCCCCCGCCCCCTTTTCCTGCTCCCCTCCTCCTTCTTTCAATGGAGACTGTAAATTCTACCTGAACAGACCAACCTCTTTGCTTACACTTAGCATTAAGATCAACCCAGAAGTGGATGACCTTTTGGGGTTGCTGTTGGAAATGTGGAAAGAAAAAGCAAATCGAATATTTAAAACGTCAGCATCTTCCAAAAATGACAGAGTTTCCGCCCTGGTCTCAGTCCCAGGCCATGGGTGTTCTGTTTACATTTCAATCATTCTCCCTGAGCCAGTGGAAGCCGCAGGCAGATGGGTTAGTGTTTCCTGTACATCTGACTGCAGGCGAAAAGGGGGCCAGTCTTTCTTACTGTATCTGCCAGAAGGTACTTCTCCAAGATGATACAGCAACTGCCAGGGAGCCCAGGAGGGGAGCTAGCCTTTGGGTTTGCCAGGCAGCAACCCTGACCCCATGGTCCTCCCACCACCAGGGCACATATACAAGAAAACTCTTTTCAGGGTTTCTGGCTTTGATGTGCTTTTCAGGGCTGAACAGGCAAAGGAGGGAAGGATCCAAAGGGGATAGATTGATGCGGCCTTAACTTGTTAAAGGAGTCAGGTGGATCTTACAGTGATGTAGGAAGATGTTCACAAGACGCTAAGAAATGAAAGAAGCAGGTTGCAAAGCCTGCACACAGCCTGGAAGGACTTCACCCAAATCCACTGTGACTTGTGGGGGAGGGGAGTTGGTCAAATGGTGCCTTCCGCTTCTGTATGGTTTAAAAGGTCTTGTTTTGTTTTTTTACAATTGGGTATGCATCCTTTTTTTAAAATCTTTTAATGCTTATGGAATTTTATTTGACAGATGGTTAAGGGCGTGAGAAAAACTATTCAAATACTGGGGAGAGACCGTGGAATCTCCAGAAAACGGCATTTTTTCAGCCGCAGAAAGGATCTGTGTCTGGAACTGGAAGTCCCAGGGACCCTGGGGAGAGGAGCATACCTGCGCTCTCCAAAGACGGAAGACTCTGCTCATGAATCACGTGGGGACCTTGGTTAATTTCGATGCTGTCTTACTGCTCCGGAAGCGCCTGAGACTTCTAACGAGCTTCCTCGCAACGCTGATCCTGCGGGCCCCAGACCACCAGGATCTGGAGAGAGGCGGGCGGGCAGGCTGGCGGGCGGGCATGGGCGCATGTAGTCCAGCCGATGGTTCCGGTTCTTCCTAGCTCGGCAAGAGTCATTTCAATAACGTGTATGTGTATGGGGGGTGGGGGGGGTCGGTGGATACAAGCTTGCGCGGGCGCACTGTATGCATGTGAGGGGAATGAGAAAAAATGATAAAGGACAGGAAGGGAGACTCACAGAAGCGAAGAGGGCGCGAGCTGGAAGGGAAAGAAGACCGGGAGACGCAGGAGATCATGCCCAGTTCCTGTACCGCCGCCTCCTTCAAGCCCAAGCCCACGGCCATGAGCGCGCCGCGGAGGGCCCCGGGCTCTCCCTGGGCGCCGCCCGCTGGTCCCCACCCGGCGGAGGTTGCGGACGGCCGGCCCCACGCGATGGCCAGTTTGCTGGGTCCCCCGCTTCTGTGTGCGCTCCACCGCCAAGAACGGCTGGGATCGCGGCAGGGAGACGCGGCTAGGGAGACCCACGCCGGCTGGGCGTTCCGGAGAAGCCGGGGCGGGGGCGGGTTGCGGCCCGCTGGAGGGGCCCTGTCGGGATCCCCGGAGCGATGCTGGCCCCCGCGAGGCCTCTCGCCCACCTGAGCCCACCTCCGGGACCTCGCACTTGATAAGATAACCCGCTTGCCTTGGGGGGTGGGGGAGAATCTGTGACCCTCTCCCCACGTGACAAGGAGTGACCCAGCGTTGTCCGCATCCGGCCGTTTTGAATTTGGTTTGACAAGGGGGAAATCTTGTACCTCTGATGCTAGATTATTTTTGTCTTTTGTGGTATGTGGAAACTCCAGGGAAATTCTCTGGGTGTAACTGTCCTAACACCGACGTTGACTTGGATCTACTGAGCCCGTCTGGGGCTGCCCCTTGCTCTGGGTCCCTGGGGGTGCAGAGAGAGTTAGGGCACAGTAAGGACCCGCAGACCCTCACCACAGTAGAGTGGACCCTGACTGGGAGCAGGGAGTGAGCTCTGGGTGCTCTAGGGGCTCAAGAAGCGGGTGACCCCCTGGAAGGATGGCACAGGATGGGATGGACAGGGATGTGGGGGAAGATGAGGGGAAAGCAGAACCCCCCAGGCGCTCCAGGTCCTGAGAGGGTGGGAAGGGAAGGAGGAGCGGCCAGTGGAGGCCAAGTCTACTGGGCACTTGGCCTTGAACTACCAACCAGAGGATCCTGAAGGCAGTGGGGAGATACAATTCTGCTACATCTTCCATGATAACAAGGCAGGCCATCCATCCCGTGCTCAGAGTAGGGCTTAGCCCCCACCCCCCCACCCCCACCCCATACCCTTTGCACTTGGAGCTCACCCAGGCCACACTCAAGCTATGCAGGAGTGTGGAAGTGCATGCACTTTCTGTCCCATTTCTGGAACCTGGCTTTGCAGACTTGTCACCTGTAGCCTGAAAGAACTTCTCCCACGCTCAGAAACCCACTGCTTCCTCTAATGTCAGGTCTGGGCCCCAGGCAGGGTCAGGGGCTTCCTGGGCCCCTTTGTCCATCTCACTCTGTACCTGCATGGAGCATACCCCACCTCGGGACTGGCTCTCTGGATTAATCTCTCTGTTCAGCCCATCCCCACCTTCCAAATGAATCTCAGTGGGGAGACGGGGAGATGCCTAGTGTCTCAAGGATGGCAGGAGAGAGTGGCTGGAGGGGTAGGACCAAGCCACGGAGGCTCCCGGGACTGGGGACCTGGGGGCCCGGGGGCTGAACTCAGCCCCTGCCCTGATCTTCAGTCTTCAGTCTCTTCATTTGTAAAATGGGAATAAGGGGCCTTCTTCTAACACCGAAGGGCTGCTGGCAGAGCTTCGGTGAAATCGCAGTTTGTAAACTAAGATCTGTGAAAGCTGGCTCCGGGTCACCTCTCAGTTCCAATTCCAGCTTTACTCCCCTGCAGAGTGGGGAGGCATGTTGAAATCAATGGCAGGGCTCCTCAAGAGCAGGTGATGGTCACGGACTTGATGGGAAGGGGGTGCTCCAGATGGAGGGACTGACTGGAAGGAAAGCGTTTTTAGTTTGGGGTTTTGTTTGACAGTTTTTTGTTTGTTGTTGTTTCCCTTTAGCTGACAACCAAGGGTGAGCCAGGCTTGGGCAGGGGTCCTTCATTTCTCAAACCCTCACAGTCCCTCAAACAGTATCAGCAGAATAGAGAAATCATAAAGGGAAGGTATCATCCAACCCTCCCACTCCCTCCTCAAATCTTACAGCAGATACACACCCTTAGAGACCACAGGTAGCGTCTAGAAACCCATTTTAGGAATGAGAACCTGAGGCCGAGAGCAGACAACCCGAGATCCCACAGCCTCAGATCCCTAAGTTTCAGATGCCCACCACCAGGTTCTCCATCACCATGCTGTCTTCCTGGACCTGCCTCTCTGCTCAAGGGACCTTGAACAAATGCCCACATCCCTCTGAGGGTGAGTTTCCTCGTCTGTAATATGGGAGTAAGTAATCCTCCCTCCTAGGGTCAGGGAGAGATTAAATGAGATGAAGTCTACTCAAGACCCACTAGGCACAGCTTAGGTCACCTCTAAGTGGTCATCCCTGTGGCTCAACTGGTAAAGAATCCGCCTGCAATGCAGGAGACCTGGGTTCAGTCCCAGGGTTGGGAACATTCCCTGGAGAAGGGAAAGGCTGTCCACTCCAGTGTTCTGGCCTAGAGAATTCCACGGACTGTATAGTCCATGGGGTCGCAAAGAGTTGGACGCGACTGAGTGACTTTCACATTCACAATTGGTCATTAAGTGGAAGTCACTCCACCTGTCGTTCTAAATGCTCCCACATCCCCTGCAACCCAGATCACAGACCTCCTGGTTTACTGTGTAAACCCAAGATATACACAGGCACCATCCACCACATTTACGAGAATGTTACCAGCTTGGTTTCACACCAGTCCACCTGCATGTCTGCATGTGAGTGCATCCCAAAGTATTTACCAAGCCTGCTCCCTGTGTCAGGTCGTGGGCTGGGGGCTGGGGGCTGGGGCCCGGGACCCAGAGGCCACCTTGGACGACTGCAGTAGCTGAGTCTCAATTACTCAGTCGTGTCCGACTCTTTGTGACCCCAAGGATGTAGCCCTCCGGACTCCTCTGTCCATGGGGATTCTCCAGGCAAGAATACTAAAGTGGAGTGCCACGCTCTCCTCCAGGGGATCTTCCCAACCCAGGGGTCGAGCCCGGGTCTCCTGCCCTGCAGGCAGATTCTTTACCCTCTGAGCCACCAGGGACGCCCAGAGTCTTGCAGGGAAGACAGGATTTGTTTGCAGAGTTCTGCCTCCTAAGCGGTCTGGTCGCTTACGTCTGGAATCCAAACGCTGGCATTGTGCATCCCTTCTGGTTTCCGGACCAGGATGGCTGAAATGCTTTTTTCTTTTCTTTCCGGGAGCCTGGCCTTCCACCGCCAGCCCCAGTCCACCCGGCGCAAGGGCGCCGCTCTCCGTGGCAGCCAGGCGGGTTCGCTGCCTGAATGTGTGCAGGAACTCGGAGAGATGGGCAAGGCGAGGACAGGCCAGAAAGGCCCGGGAGGAACCCGGGAAGCCTTGGGAGGTCTGAGCCTTTGCAGCCCCCGCGCCAGCCCTCCCCGGCCCGTTTGGCACAAGCGCCTCCCGGGACGCCAGGCGGCTGAGCAAAGGCCGGCCCCGCCACGCACCCGGTCTTTTGTGGGAGCGAAACACAAAAGAGAGGGAAAAAAATACGTCTTCCGTTTCGACGGAGGAGGCCAACAGCGCCAGGACTCCTGGGCCAGCCAGGAACCCCCGGAGCCCGGCCCATTAGCCCCGGCAAAGGAGCACTCCATTTCACTGGAAGGGGCTGTGTGCGCGCGGGTGGGAACCGCGGTGCCAGGGACACTCCCAGGATGCGCACACCAGGTGCCGGCCGCAAGACCTGGGCAAGGGCCGGGACGCCCTAGGGCCCATGGGAGAGCAAGTGCTGGTGGGGGACTCTAGTTTCTGATTATCCCTGGAGGGGGCGGGAGGACCCAGAGACACACTCGAGAGAGTTTGGCTACCGACCAGGGCTAAAGAAGCCCAGGGCACACAGACAGCCCCCCACCTCGAGCAACCGGCAACTGGAGGATGGGGTCCTCCATGGGGATGTTGGGGAAAGGGTCCGCAGAGCTGACCTGCCAGCCCGAGCTCCGGGGAGTGCGCAGTGAGGACCGCGAGGCGCCGCTGCACCGCCCCGGCATGGCCACCACTGCCTCAGATCGGTGGCGCGGGACCGGAGCCCAGAGCATCCTTACGCGCCTCCACGCGGGAATCTGGCGAATAAGCCAGCTCTCCTGACTCCGGACTGTGCCTTCCCAGCTCTAAACTCGCGCAGTGCCAAGATGGGCCCCTCGAGTTTCGCCCCTGCTTCCGACTCCAGGCTCTGAAACCAGCGCGTAAAGAACCGCGGACTCGCGCGGACCCGGACAGTCGCAAGGACTGTCGCCGGTGGCAAGCCACGAAAGAAGGAACCGGGGCTCCAGGACACGTGCCACCGGCTGGACTAATCTCAGCGGCTGCGACCTAGGCGCGCACTCTTTGCGCCTGCTGGCGTTTGTGAGATACAAACTGGCGCGCTCACAAGACCACGCCCCCGGCTGGGGACCCGTAGCGCACACCCCCCACGAATGTCCTCATTGCCGGTGGCCCAGGATGCCCAAAGGAATGGTACTCAAATGCCCCAGCCCTGCCATCCCCAGCTCCGCATCCCCACTCCCTTCGGTCTTCCAAGTGACAGATTCGCCTAATTGAACCGTTGTGGGTCATCCTCTGGAACCGTTGGACGACACATCTCCACGCTTCAGTTCTTCATGTTTTAAATACATATTTAACGGATGGCTGCTGAGCCAGCTGGGAAACAGGTGGATTGAAAAATAACGCCCCAGAAGGCACGAGCTGGGGGCAAGGGGGAGAGCCCGCCTGGCTTTCTGGTGTAACGGGAGTGTAAGACTTACCCCCAAACTAGGAGCAGTACCCTGGGGTTTTGTTGGTTTATTTCGTAACTTTGCTGTTTGAAGGTGAATTACTACTAGCCAAGTTTGTTTGTCTGTTGTGTTTTTAAAACCGTGCACACAAATTAAAAGCTCCCAAATAATGTAGATAACCAAGAGGCTGATAACACCCCTTTGGAGAGAGGGCTGGGGCTGAGTCTCTGCAGCTGCAGTGTAAAGCACTAGTAGGGTCCTGGATTTGAAGAAACAAATCTCTGTGCTCAAAATGTATGGCTGTGAGAAATTTTCAACCATGAGAAAATGTCTGAGGGTAGGGAGACGGGGCCCCTACTATAAAGCAACCACCAGAGCCCCCATCTGCAGTTCAGGCAGAGGTGCGCAGTAAAGGGTTGAGTTGGGTTTTTTTTCCCTCTAGGCTTGCTACAGACACAGTCTCTATTTTCCCATCTGTAAAATGGGCGGAGGCGTCGGTACCACAGGACTACTTCAGTTGGGCGCTTTCCCAGATCAGATTTAGTTCCTCGGAGGTCAGGGATTTCCAGGTTTGGGAGTCAGGCCGCGATTGGTAAAACGCAATGGATCTCGGCCAAAACGGGTTGGATCCCGCGGTCTGGCCCGCGGTATGGAGAAGTCTTGGCCCAGGTTTGAGACTTCTTTCTGCAGACAAGCCAACTTTGCCCCTCTATGCCACGGCGTGGTGACCGCCACAAAGATGGTGCAGAAAATACCGTCCTCTGGTTCCCGGTGCTGCGAAAGGATGCCAGACCCTGGGCTCAACTCTCCGCCTGCGTTAGCGCGGTTTCTCAGTGCAAACGCCTCGTCCCGGTGTCTGCGCCATCGTCAGCTTCCTGAAGAAGGAGATTTCTTTCAAAGCCCCGTCTTGGTAGCGGGTCCCCTGTTGCCTTCCCCGCCTTCCTCCTCGCCAGGCCCGGCGCCCAGCTGGGGGCGCTCCTGGCCGCCGGCCGAGCTTCAGCCGCCGCCACCTCTCAGAGGCGCGCTTCGAGGGCAAAGAAAGTACGAGTTTCGTGCCTGGTTGCCGTGCACATTTGGGGCTCAAAGTGCCCACGTGCTGATGAAACCCACGAAGTGGGAACAGGTGGCGAGCACACACACACACACACACACACACACACACACACACACACACACGGCGGTGGGGAGGGAGGAGACTCCAGCCCAGCTCCCGAGTAGCCAGGGTTTTCTGCGAAGATCCCCAAGGTCCGAACGCCTTGGGCGTCAGGTTAATTTGTGCGCACAGCACCCCCGCGCACCTCCTCCCCCAGCCTGGCTCTGCGTTCCCGTATTTTATTAGAAATTTGGCAGTGTCCCCTCTCTCCCTCGGTCCCAACCGCGGCGCTCTGCATCCCCCCCCGCCCCCCGAGCCCGCCCTCCTCCTCCGGCTTTGCCTCTCACTCGCCCTCTCGGGGTCCACGCTGCAGTCCCTCCGGTAAGACTCTCCCTGCCGCGGGCGCCCATTGGCTGAGCGCTGGGAGGAGGCGTGTGCCGGCCCGGCGAGTTTCATTGAGCGGAATTAGCCCGGATGACATCAGCTTCCCACTCCCCCCACCCATCCCCACCCCGGGCCTGCCCAGCTCATTGGCGCGGCGGCCCCTCCAAGACCCGCACATTGTTCCCCGCCCCCGCCGCGGCCACCGTCGCCGCCGCCGCCGCCACCCGGCTATAAAAACCCTCCGAGCGGGGAAAGGTGCGGATGCTCATTATAGACCGACGCGACATCGGCGCCCGGACCCGGTTTTCTGCGGCAGCCTTGGGGACCGAGCTCCTCTAACCGCATCCGCAGTAAGTGTGCCCGCCCCTCCCAACCCCCCGTCCCAAGCAACTACAGCCTACACCCCAGGGACGGAGGCCCCTCACTTCGGCTGCTACCGGGGGAGCTCCGCTAAAGTGGATCCAGATCCCTCCCCTACCCGCCAGTTCTCCTGAGCGGCTTCGCTGCCCAGACCCTCCCCACGCTCACCGCACCACCCCTTTGGCTCCAAAGCGAGAAATCGGGGCCACAATAGCGGTCTTCTGCCCCAGGACCAGTCAGCTGGGCGAGCCCCCGGCCCGCCCCAGGCGCAGCGGTGGAGTCTGGGCTCCGTGGCGGGCGCTGGGTGCGCAGGTCTGTGAACGTGTGTTTTCCGAGCGATGTCGATGGAGATAAGGTGGATGCGTTTGAGGAACCAAATACTTCTCTATTTAGATCTCCACCCTTCCCAAAGAGAAGCCCTCACTTGACACTTATTCCAGCCCTGGAGATCCAGCCTCCTCATTCTTAAGTGTGTTAGTCGCTCAGTCGTGTCCGACTCATTGCGACCCTATGGACCGTAGCCTGCCAAGCTCCTCTGTCCGTGGCATTTTCCCGGCGAGAATACTGGAGTGGGTTACCATCGCCTTCTCCAGGGTATCTTCCCGTCTGAGCCACCAGGGAAGACCTCATTCCTAGCAGAAGGCATAAAAACCGTAGAATGCCACCCTCCCAGAGGAGAGCTCCATCCTCCCTGGATTAAACAACCTGTGGATGAGAGCGGCGCGGAGGCGGTAGGGAGGGAAAGAGAGAACTTAAGCTTACCTGCATGCCGAGGCCAGAGACAGCGAGGTGGACCCGAAGCGAACGGCCACCAGCGCCTGAAGCCCGCGCTGCGGTGCCGGCGGGAGCAGGTTCTCTCTCTCACTGACCCCAGTGCCGCTCGATCTCTATTTCGATCTTCTGTCTCTTTTGTGTTTCTCTCCTCCTCTCTTCGCAGTAGGCGTCCTGGAAGCTCTGAGGACCCAGGGAGGGGAGGATCCCGCGAAGGCTGCGACGATCCCTCGGGGCCATGGACTCGGACGCCAGTCTGGTGTCTAGCCGGCCGTCGTCGCCGGAGCCCGATGACCTTTTCCTGCCGGCCCGAAGCAAGGGCAGCGGGGGCGGCGCCTTCACGGGGGGCACCGTGTCGTCGTCCACGCCGAGCGACTGCCCGCCGGATCTGAGCGCCGAGCTGCGGGGCGCCATGGGCGCGGCGGGCGCGCACCCGGGGGACAAGCTGGGCGGCGGCGGCGGCGGCGGCTTCAAGTCCTCCTCGTCCAGCACCTCTTCGTCCACGTCGTCGGCGGCCGCGTCGTCCACCAAGAAGGACAAGAAACAGATGACGGAGCCCGAGCTGCAGCAGCTGCGCCTCAAGATCAACAGTCGCGAACGCAAGCGGATGCACGACCTCAACATCGCCATGGACGGGCTGCGCGAGGTCATGCCTTACGCGCACGGCCCGTCGGTGCGCAAGCTCTCCAAGATCGCCACGCTGCTGCTGGCGCGCAACTACATCCTCATGCTCACCAACTCGCTGGAGGAGATGAAGCGACTGGTGAGCGAGATCTACGGAGGCCACCACGCCGGCTTCCACCCGTCGGCCTGCGGCGGCCTGGCGCACTCGGCGCCCCTGCCCGCAGCCTCGGCTCATCCGGCGGCCGCGGCGCACGCGGCGCACCACCCTGCCGTGCATCATCCCATTCTGCCTCCGGCCGCCGCCGCCGCCGCCGCCGCTGCGGCCGCCGCCGCGGTGTCCAGCGCCTCCCTGCCCGGCTCTGGGCTGTCGTCGGTCGGCTCCATCCGGCCCCCTCACGGCCTGCTCAAGTCTCCGGCGGCGGCGGCGGCGGCGGCGGCAGCGGCCCCGCTTGGGGGCGGCGGCGGCGGCGGCGGGGGCACTGGCGGCTTCCAGCACTGGGGCGGCATGCCTTGCCCCTGCAGCATGTGCCAGGTGCCCCCGCCGCACCACCACGTGTCGGCCATGGGCGCCGGCAGCCTGCCACGCCTCACCTCCGACGCCAAGTGAGCGGGCCCGGGGGCAGACGAGTTCTGGCGAGCCGGGAGGGTGGGAGCCCCGAGGCTGCGTGGGGTGGGGGAAGCCAGGACCGGCCGGCGCTGGGGCCAGGGAGCTCAGTCCCAAGGAGGAGCGCCGTTCCGTGAGCTGGGGGTGGGGGGCAAAGGTGAGGACTCCAGTACCCGGCATCCGATGCAGCAGAGGAGGCGTGCGCTGAACCGTGGGCAGTGAGAGGTTGCATTTGCTCTGGGACTTGGTTCAACCCTCTCTGGCTGTAAACAGCAGCGCTACTCCCTTGGACATCCTTTTATAAGAAGGCGCAGCTATCCGCATCCCGTCTTTCAACCCTCCCTCTCCTCCCCCCCGCCCAGAACCCTAGGAAAGAGGTGATTCTAAAAACTGCTTTCCCTACGAACTCGGCCTCATTCGGCCCGGGCAGCACTTCGTAGTAGCGAGGAGGAAGGCAAGGAGGGGAGCGTCGGGGACTTCCTCGCCTCTCCGGGCGGGTAGGAGACTCTGGAGCCGCAGTCCAGAAGCGGCCGTCCGGACTCGCCCTCAAGGGTCGTCCCCCGCCCAGGGACTTACGGTCGTGTCCAGTCTCCGTATCTAGATAAACCCACAGCGGTCTCGGACTGTTCCTCCCTGTCGCTTCTAATTGGTTTGGGGGTTTGTGGTTTTCAAAGGTTTGTTCTTTTTCAACCGTGCGATCAAGCTTTATAGACAGTCAGAATAGAACCACTTGTGGATTGTTAAAACCTACAACTGTCGACTTTGGCTGAGGGTGGTTTTTTTTTTGTTTTTTTTTTTTAGTTATTTTAAAATAGAATTTCCCTCCCTCCCCCTTCTTTCCGTCTCGGAGCACAAAGTGATTTGGTTTCCTACCTGGCTGGGGAGTCATTTGGGTACCCGAGGATTTGACAGAAATCAGAGGATGTTGCTGTGAATATAGTTTGGGTTATTTGGGAGTTCTGTTGATTTTTTAGTTTTTTTTTTCTCTTTGGAATGTATAAATAGATCAATAATGAGGTAAGTGCGTGCTGCTAAGCTGATTGCTCACGTGACTGCCACTCCCCCCCGCCCCCCCCCGCCCAAGCCGGGTTTCTTCTATATTGGTTTCTTTTTGCGAGCTTAACACAAATGACAAACTCTTGCCACGTGCTTCCTCCCTCCGCGCGAACCGCCTCGGCTTGCAGAGTTGCAATATGGGCTTCACAGCGTCGGCCACGTAACAACCCTCTCCGATCGCTGCCCCTTGCAGAGAGTGTATCATCTGTTTTATTTTTGTAAAAAGATAAAAGTGCTAAATAATATTTATTACTTGTTTGGTTGCAAAAAAAATGAAATAAATGACTGAGTGTTGAGATTTTAAATAAAATTTAGAGTAAGTCGGGTGTTTTCCAGCCTTGTGGGTGGAAGGAGGTGTGGGGAGCCGCCTGGGAAAAGCGGGCGGCGGGACTCAATCCTTCTGGGCTGGATTTGGGGACCGCTCCGCTGGTTTCGTCCCAGAGAAAGATTGAGATGGTTGTTGGCCCATTTTTCTCCCCCCTAACATTCTCTTTAAAATACGTTCTGAGCACCTCCTCGGCGTACTCCTCACTTGTTTTTATTTTTATTTTCTGACGCCTAACCTGGAACTCCTTTTCTACTGGGTTGAGAATTAGGTTCATTGAAAGGGAAAAATATTCCTCCGTGCAGCGCCGAACTTTGGGCCTCCCGGGTGAGACCCGTGCCTCTGGCTGGGAGTCCGGGCGCTTAGGTCCCCGTGTTCTGAAGCGATTCCATTTTCTCTCTGCTGAGAGGCTGTCGTCCACCCGCATCCGTCTGCGGACCTGCGACGAGAGGCCCTCTCGGCCCGGCATCGCCACGTGGTTCCCGGCAGAGGGCTGCGGGCGCTTGTGGCGCGGGTTCCACTCACCCTTCGCTCCCTTCCCTGCGCTACGCACGGCCCTCCCCCGGCTCCCCCGCCGGCCTTGAACCGCAAAAAGTCAGGTGCTGGGAACCGCCCGCCGGGAGCCAGGCTGTCGCCAGCCGCGCTTTGGTCTCCCGCTTCCTAACCCTGACTCCCGCCTCCGTTTTCTCGCTGCTGTCGGGTTCCTCACAATCCAAAACTGCAAGGCAAATTTAGGACGTGGCTCTTAAGAGGGATTTGGGGCTTCGGCCTGTCCGGATCAAGGAAGAGGAGAGAACGTTTTGCCATCTTCCGGTTCTCCGGCTCACAGCAGAACGCGCATCCGTGAACGCTGCGAAGTGCGGACGTGGTGGATGGTCCCCGGCCCGGGGCCCGCTCGCTCACGATACCTTTGGTGGCCACCGGTGGAAGGTCCCAGCGCCTAGAGCACCTGGGACAGAGGTTTCCCTGGTTGGACCGCCCCCCCCCCGCGCGCCCCGTTTCCTGAGATCGCCCCTGATCGCCCCCCAGCCGGGCCCACGATGACTGGTCGTTCAGGGGAGGGAGGTTGGTTCCATCTCCTGGACAGGTAGTTTCTGGGTCCGCCAGCAGATACTGTCAGGCGACTGGCCTAAACGAGCGGGCGCCCCCGGGCATCAGATGCCTCCTACTGGGCTTCGCTTCTCACCCACGGCGGGGATGAAGGCTGGGGGGCTGCAGAGAGTGGAATAAAGGGGTCCTGCCCAAACCGCGCCACGGGAGTCCCAGAAGAGGGTAGGGCAGGATCTAGTAGGTTTCGCTTTCAAATTCCAGTTGAAACGGAATTTGTCAAGGATTTAAGACTGGGTCCTTCTCCAGCCAACAAGCCACACAGAGGACCCCGCGGTGCAGATTGGGTTGGGGGGGGCCTCCCTGTCGCAGTCTCGGCTTCCTACACCCACCCCAAGACTTGGCAGATGCAGGCGGGGCTGCCCGAGGCGCAGTGCATCCGTAAAGGCGCAGTTGTTGAAAGAAATCAAGTCTCCCCCCTTTCCCGTCCCCCATGTCCAAGCTCTCGGTTCGTGTCCAGCCACCAGTCAGACTAGATCTTGGCCCCCAAGGAAGGAGGGCCTGGATCCAGCCAGGCTCCGGGCGCTCCCCAGAGCCACCCGCCTAAACCCAGCCAGGGATCTGGGCCACCACGTGTGAGAGCCGAGCGCGCTCGACGCCGCGGAGGAGGCGCACACGGGCGAGCAAGGGCCGCTCCGGGCAGATGGCTCCTTGCAGAAACTGGCCCTTGCGTGGCGGGGGGCCTGGGTGAGGGACGCAGGCCAGCGGTTGGGCTTCGGGGTAGAGCGAGAAAGGAAGTTAGCCTCCCACGCGGACTTCCAAGGACAACCTCCGCAGCCCCGCCCCTACACTGAGAGAGGCAGGCAGGGAGAAGGCGGTCTGCAAACAGTTGGGCGCTGGGCAGTGACTCGATCCTCGGGGCACCGGCTCCTAGGACCCCCTTCCCGGCTGCATTAGGTTCTCTTGGACGCTGGTCCACAGCACAGCTTCCCCATCCCCGCATGTGGCCCTGGAAGTGTCTCAGCTCTCAGCCTGGGCGCCCAGGCTTCTGTCACCAGCTCCCAAGGTCTTCCAGATTCTCCCCCACCCCTCTCTCCTGCATAAAAACTGACTGATTTGAGGTTGAGGGGGCCTCCTCCTCCGTTGTCTCTTTCCTCCAGGGCATGGTCTTCCCTCCCCTCTCATTCCCAGGGCAGGAGACAGAGGAACGAGGAGCCCCTGGTTTGATCCTGTGTTGGAGGGCACACGGGAACCCCCGGGGCGGCGCCTGGCCCATGCCTCCAGCGCCCAGAAAGTTGAAACTCTGAATTCTGGCAACTGGAAGTCCGCCAAGGAGCAAAGCAAACCTTCACATCTAAAGCGCATCTCGATTGGAGAATGTGTTGCTGAGGCCCCAGGGAGGTCACACTCCCAGCAAGGACGGCTGGAGAAAGACTCAAGTACCAGGGAGATGCATGGGGCTGGGGCTGGGGCCTCCTCAGTCCCAGATGGGAAGGCAGGAGAGGGGGAGGAGCCCCCAGGCCAGGATGTTGGATTTTTAAAAGTCCCCTAGACACTCAGTGCTGGAGAGCCATCTGTCTGCCTCCCTTTAGGATAGAACCCAGCTAACAAAGAGTCTGAACTCCTATTAAGTAAATACCTTGATGCCCCCTAGAAGTTCATCGAAGGCAAAAGATACCCGCTATACAGGCCTACCTTTCATTTTAAGTCCCTCTTTTAGTACAGACTTCGGGCCAAATCTGAGCCTCCACACAAGGGCCTCACAGTGCCAGTAAGACTCTTGGGGGTCTCTGACAGCGGCCCTAGACCCAAAGTCTCTTGACAGGCCCCCTAAGTCTCTACGCACCTGCAAGGGAGGCCAGAATCAGGCCTGGCTGTTTTCAGGGTAAGTGGCTGCTACACTGAGTCCTACCCTGGCTGGGGAGCGGTGGCCGTGGAATAGTATGGGTCAGCATCCCACGGCTCAGTTTGGAGGGGGCAGGCAGTGTGACCCCTGGGCTAAACCTTCCATTCCTGGTCAGAGTAATGGGCCAGCAGGGCAGAGACGGGGCTCACCCCTCGTCAATTCCTCCTACCCTCAGGGGCTGCCTTGTTGCTACAGGGCCACATGCATTGTGGGTTAATGGGGTGAGGGGACACTCCAGTGACCAACAGTTGTGGCAGATCCGGGAGCCTGGAGGCGGTGCCCAGCTGTACCCGGGAAGCTCAGGATGACAATAATAAGCGGAAGAGGCTGGAAGAGGAGGCACCAACATTTACAGAAGGCTAGTCTGCGATTCATGGGGTCGCAAAGAGTCGGACATGACTGAGCGACTGAACTGAACTGAACTGAGTCTGTATAGGGCATCACCCTGAGAGCTTTGGTTGTTAATCATTCCTTCAATTCACCTGGTAGCCCTTTGAGGATGGTGCTATTATTTATTATATTTATTTAATTATGATTTTACAGGGTGAGGAAATTGAGGCTCAGCGAGGGTAAGTGGCTTGCTCAAGGGAAGACACAGTAAATGGAGGCAGCAACGTTGGGATCCTGGGGTTTGGCTCCAAATCCAACCTTGGGAAAGTCGCACCATCCATACCCAGGCCGCCCTAGCCGTCTCTCCTCCACTCCAGTTTAGTCTCTAGATTCTGGGGAATCCTTGAAGCTCCCACACTGCTGCCCACCCCCACCCCCACCCCCACCCCCACCCCGGCCCCGGCCCCGGCCCCGGCCCCGGCCCCAAGCCCCCAGCCCCCTTAGGTGACACTCCTAGCATTCTCCCTGTGCGCCTGGACCCCATCTGGCCCCGACGCCCCCATCTGGGCAGCGGGCGGTGCCCGCGACGCGGGCGACCGCTAATGAGGCTGCCGGCGACGCTGAGATGGACCGGCGTTCGTGGCGGGACAGCTGCCGCCCCCCGCCGGCCCGCGGACCGCATCTCCTGCCCAGTGGCGCAGTCCACACCGCGTGCCACAGCAACTCGGGAAGGAATCGCAAACCGAAACGCCTGCAGGGGCCCGCAGGACACGTGCGCGGGCGGGACGCGGGTCGTCCGTGCAAACGGTGGGGGCGCGCGAGCTGGGAGAACGCAGTGTCCTCCCCAGGGACCTTGGGCCCCACTTTACCACACACTAAGGGCCCCCCGGACACTGGGGGAGGGGGCGGTGTGGCACGAACTGGCCGGCGGGCTTCCAGTCTGCAACCCCTGAAAGTGATGCTGCTGATCAGGACGGCAGATTTGGGTCGTTGGCCCTGCTGGGGATCTCAGGCCGCGAAGCCTCCGGGAACCGAGTAACTGCGCGATCTCCTGCCGAGCTGGGCGCCGCGGTTCCCTGGCTTCCCGGATCGCGAGCAGGCAGAACGCAGGCCGCGGGGGCCCCGGCCTCGCAGGCACGCCCGGTCCGCCCGTCCGCTGGAGCCACAGCGCGTCCCGCTCGGGCTCGGGTTGAAGCAGCTGCCTGAGGCGGCGCGCGGCTTTCCTTTGCAGAGCTTTGCGTCCCGCGGCCGCAGGGCCTCTGAGTCCACTAGCTGTGGGAGGGATTGAGAGTTCCCCACCCTCCACCCCGCCCCGAGAGGGAAACAAGCGGATTTCTCCGGAAGCGCCTAAGTTCATGTGGAGACCAAATAGCATCCCTGACCCCATTGGGGGTCAGACACCCTGATCCGCGCTCACGCACAAGGACACAGGCACCGAGCGCTCCTCCTGGGGTCCACACGCACACTGGCGAGTCTGGAACCTCGAAGCCTTGGCCTTGGGTCTGGAAGCCCTTGAGGTCCCGTAAGACAGCGACGGTTGGCCGGGGACAGCTCGGTTTATCTTCCCCTTCCTCGACTATCCTCGGGAGCCTGGAAATCTATCCTCTCCCTGCCTCCTTCTAGGCTTTGTGGGCTGGCCCACCGCCCTTCCCTCTGCGACAGCACCCCCCCCCCCAACCTCCAGTCCAAACCCGCTCTCTGAGACCTCAGCTTTCCAGGCTGAAGTCTTGGATCTCCAGCGAGAGCCCGTGGAAGAACAGGACCATGAGCAGTTGGCTCCCTCTTCATCCTCGGATCTTCTGGGCAGTGGAGGCTGGCCTGGCACAGCAGAGCTGGAGTGGCCCCTCAGAAGCCTGGTGGGTGCTCTCTGACCTCAGCTTCCGCACCTGTAGAATGGAGCCAGGTTGGGTGATCACCAAAGCTCTGTGGGAGGATGAGGCTTGGCTCTGGGTGCCCTGGCCCACCTTTGGGCAGAGGTTCCCAGAGCCCCTGGTTGGCAGGGAGAGTGATGGGTGAAAACAGTTCCCCTTAGAATCCTGTGTAGGCAGGGACCAGCACTTCCCAGGTGGCGCAGTGGCAAAGAACCCGCCTGCCAAAGCAGGAGACTCAAGAGATGTAGGTTCAATGCCCGCCTGGGGAAGATCTCCTGGAGGAGGAAATGGCAACCCACTCCAGTATCCTTGCCTGGAGAATCCCATGGACAGAGGAGCCTGATGGGCTGCAGTCTGTGGGGGTGGCCTAGAGTCAGACACAACTGAGCTACTGGGCACCCAAGCACATGGGGGCTAATGAAATTCACAGCCTCCACTGAAATGGGAGTGTAGGCAATTCCAGAAACAACTACTATTTGTCCTTGACTTTTCAGCTCCCCAGGTAGAAACTGGCTTAGATATCTTTGTATCTAGACTTCTATCTGGACTTGCCTGCTTGATGTAAATGAATGAATGTGGATGGTAAATGGAGGACTCAGGGAAGGAAGAGGTTTCCAGAGTGTGAGAGGCCAGGAAATCATGCACGGATACCTGCCACTGGGGCCTAGAGGCTAGAGGGCAACTTTGATTCTACCCAGACCTCCCACGCGGCAGAGAGCCAGGCTATCAGACCTCCCAGAGTGCCTGTCTCTTTTTATGTAAATAGAATGGTTACTAGTAGCACCTCACAATTGTGTTACTGCCAAGAATAAATGAAATGGCTTCCTGCCTGGTTCTAGCTGTGAATGGATGCCCTGAGCCCAGGCGTCTGGCCAGAGTGCAGCCACCAATATGTAGGTCATGTGTTGGGAAGGTCAGGAGTGGGTGGGGGTTGGGTGGTGTGGATGAAGCACCATGAAGACCACGTTTTGCGGTTGGGTGTGGGGCTGTGGTATGCTGCCTTGGCCGGGCTCCACCAGCTGTGTGACCTGGAACGAGAGACCTGGGCTTTTTGAACCTCAGCTTCCTTATCTGTAAAATGGATGTGATACTAATACCATTTCCACAGGGCATCAGGATTGAAAGGGACAACTGGGCCCTGGGCCTAGCATACAGGGCGAGTCCAATAAGCAGAAGAGTCTACCCACCTGGTGGGATGGTCATCTCACTGAATCTTCTGGGAGGTCCTGTGGGGCAGGGTCCCTGTTACTGTCACATGACCTGCCCTGCAGCATTTGGAGGGGGTCTCTTTGACCCAGGACCCCAGGAGAGGCCCAGAAGTCCCCTGAGCATGATATACAGAGTCAAGTCACCCCTGCCCCATGCAGGGCAAAGCGCGTCACCTCTGCATGCCCCAGGGTACCTGACACAGGCCTTGATACGTACGTAGCCCTTGCATTGCCTAATTGCCTTGCACTGGAGCAGGGCCCACGTGCTGCATAGAAAACAGAATGTGCGTGTGTGCTAAGCCACTTCAGGTTATGTCTGACTTTGTGTGACCCTATGGACTGTGGCCCAGCAGGCTCCTCTGTCCATGTGATTTCCCAGGCAAGAATACTAAAGTCGGTTGCCACGCCCTCCTCCAAGATCGAACCCGTGTCTCTTACATCTCCTACATTGACAGGCAGGTTCTTTACCACTAGTATCACCTGGGATGCCCAGAAACCAGAATAGAGTCCGTGAAAGGGCGGGAGACCTGGGTTAGATCCCTGGGTCCGATCCCTGGGTTCGATCCCTGGGTTGGGAAGATACCCTGGAGAAGGGAAAGGCTACCCACTCCAGTATTCTGGCCTGGAGAATTCCATGGACTGTATGGTCCATGGGGTTGCAAAGAGTTGGACACGACTGAGTGACTTTCACAAGGGCAGGAGTTAGGATCAGGGAGGATTAATTGAAGGGAAATTTACCTGTGAAGCCGAGGCCCCACCCTCACAGTTTTCTGCCCCCGCCCCCCTCTCAGGGCCTGGCCTCTATCCATGCCCCTGGGATGCCCAGTGCAAGGGGGCAGCTGGACAGTGGAGGATCCTTCCCTCTCTAGGATTGCAGCTGGGAACCACAGGGTGAGCTCTGGTGAGTGGGACTCTGGAGAGTGGGACGAGGAGCTCCCCATTACCCCGCTTCTGAGCTCATCCTGCTACTCAAGCCAGTCCAGCTAGTGAAGACGCCCGAGCCCTGTGTGGCTCGGCCAGAGAGGAAGAAAGTGACCTAGTGCAGCCCGGACACCGGCAAAGGTTGCTGCAGCGGCAGGGAAGTCAGAGAACTGTGGAGCCAAAAAAGCGGGGAAGACACCTCCACCCCGGGCTTAGGCTGTCTGCCCCTCCTTCCCAGTCTCTCTTCCATCAGGCCCCGCCCACCCACCGGCAGACCTGCTTGTCTTTACCCCACATTTGCAGTTTCACCCATGAGTTCCTCTTACCCAGATACTTCTTTTTTTTTAATTTTTAAAAATTGTTATGGAGATATAATTGATCTACAATGTATTAGTTCCAAATGTACAGCAAAGTGATTCAGTTATACACACACACACACATATTCTTTTTCAGGTCCTTTTCCATTATAGCTTATCACAAGATATTGAGTTCCTTGTCCGGCTATACAGCAGGTCCTTGTTGGTTTCAGTCACTTCTTTTTGTTTGTTTTAATTGAAGTGAAATTTCCATAACATGAAATGAGCCATTTTCAACTGAACAACTCAGGGGCATTACAATGTTATACACTCACTATTTCTCTCCAGTGCCAAAACATTTTTTTTTTATCACTGCCAGAGTAAAATCGTGCTCATTAACCACTTCCTTTCCCTCCAGCCTCTGGTAACCACTAATCTGCTTTCTGTCTCTATGGATTTACCTACTCAGGACATTTCATATAAATGGAAACATGCAATATGTCACTTTTGCATCTGTTTTGTTTTTCACTCAGCATAATGATTTTGAGGTTTATCCATCCTATTGCATGTGCTTCACTCCTTTTCAAAGCTGAATAATATTCCACTGTGGGCTTCCTTAGTGGCTCAGTGGTAAAGAACCTGCCTGCCATTGCAGGAGACATGGGTTCAATCCCTGGGTTGGGAAGGTCCCCTGGAGAAGGAAATGGCAACCTACTCCAGTATTCTTGCCTGGGAAATCCCGTGGACAGAAGAGCCTAGCAGACTACAGTCCCAGGGGTCGCAAAAGAATCGAACATGATTTGGCAATTAAACAATGACAATATTCCATTGTATAGATGGACTGCATTTTGCTTACCCATTCATTTGTTAGACCTTCTCTGGTGGATCAGACAGTAAAGTGTCTGCCTACAATGCAGGAGACCTGGGTTCAACACCGGGGTCGGGAAGATCTCTTGGATAAGAAAATGGAAACCCACTCTGGTATTCTTGCCTAGAAAATCCCAGGACGGAGGAGCCTGGCGGGCTACAGTCCATGGGGTTGCAAAGACACGACTGAGTGACTTCACTTTCACTTTTCTTTCTTTTTCATTCATCTGTTAATAGTCGCTTTTACTCCTGAGTAATGCCCCAGGTCACTGCATGTGACCTTCCATGGTGAAAAGAAACCTGGGCTAGGAGTTAAAATCTAGAGCAGGCTGGGCATCCTAAGACAAGTTGCTTGACCTTTCTGGGCTTCAATCTACTCATCTATTACAAAACAGAAATTGAAAAGTTTGGCAAGGCCCATTTCAAGGTAAGGTCCTCTTTGACTTTCCACAGCTCTGACATTCTCCCTGCCAGTTGTACAAAGAAGCCCCGTGTCTTTCCTGCCAGCCACAACCCTGTGTCAAGGATCCCATTCAAAAGAAAGCCCTGGGATTTGACAGGCACCCCCAGTGGATCAGGTCCCCCTAACAAGTCGGTAACTTTGGGTCTTAGAGGGCCAAATCTTAGTGAGAAGCCTGGCTGAAGTGGGCAGTGTTTTGTGAGTTATTCCCTTTTTAAACATCTAGCCAGACTCTCATCAGTTTACCTACTCAAGACATTTCATATAAATGGAAACATGCAATATGTCATTTTTGCATCTGTTTTGTTTTTCACTCAGCATAATGATTTTGAGGTTTATCCATCCTATTGCATGTGTCAGGTCACCTAGAGCAAGTTGTGACTTGGTGATGAGACGGCCAGCTTGTTGTATGTACAGCACCTTGTTTTGTTATAGATAAGAGTCACATTTTAAGAAGTGGACACTGAACTAGATCATGAGGATTCAACATAAATCGGGGGAGTGTACAAATTGATATCCTGACTCCTATAATCCCCATGTTTCATTCAGCACACATTCACTACCCTTCACCCCATCTCCTGCTTTGGGTAAGTTGGAAACATACAGAAACAAGAGTTAAGAAACATGGTCTTTCTTAGCATGTCAGAGC